TGCTACTACTACTACTACCACCACCACCACCACAACTACTGCTACTACTACTACTACTACCACCACCACCACTACTACTGCTACTACTACTACTACCACCACCACCACCACAACTACTGCTACTACTACTACTACCACCACCACTACTACTGCTACTACTACTACTACCACCACCACCACCACCACTACTACTACTACCACCACCACCACCACTACTACTGCTACTACTACTACCACCACCACCACTACTACTGCTACTACTACTACTACCACCACCACCACCACTACTACTGCTACTACTACTACTACCACCACCACCACCACTACTACTGCTACTACTACTACTACCACCACCACCACCACAACTACTGCTACTACTACTACTACTACCACCACCACCACTACTACTGCTACTACTACTACTACCACCACCACCACCACAACTACTGCTACTACTACTACTACCACCACCACTACTACTGCTACTACTACTACTACCACCACCACCACCACCACTACTACTACTACCACCACCACCACCACTACTACTGCTACTACTACTACCACCACCACCACCACTACTACTGCTACTACTACTACTACCACCACCACTACTACTACTGCTACTACTACTACCACCACCACCACTACTACTGCTACTACTACTACTACCACCACCACCACCACTACTACTGCTACTACTACTACTACCACCACCACCACCACTACTACTGCTACTACTACTACTACCACCACCACCACCACTACTACTGCTACTACTACTACTACCACCACCACTACTACTACTACCACCACCACCACCACCACTACTACTGCTACTACTACTACTACTACCACCACCACTACTACTACTGCTACTACTACTACTACTACCACCACCACCACCACCACTACTACTGCTACTACTACTACTACTACTACCACCACCACTACTACTACTGCTACTACTACTACTACTACCACCACCACTACTACTACTGCTACTACTACTACTACCACCACCACTACTACTACTGCTACTACTACTACTACTACTACCACCACCACTACTACTACTGCTACTACTACTACTACTACTACCACCACCACTACTACTACTGCTACTACTACTACCACCACCACTACTACTACTGCTACTACTACTACTACCACCACCACCACTACTACTGCTACTACTACTACTACTACTACCACCACCACTACTACTACTGCTACTACTACTACTACCACCACCACTACTACTACTGCTACTACTACTACCACCACCACTACTACTACTGCTACTACTACTACCACCACCACTACTACTACTGCTACTACTACTACTACCACCACCACTACTACTGCTACTACTACTACCACCACCACTACTTCTACTACTACCCCCACCATCACTACTTCTACTACTACCCCCACCATCACTACTACCGCTACTACTACTACTACTACCACCATCACTACTACTACTGCTACTACTACTACTACCACCACCACTACTACTACTGCTACTACTACCACCACCACCACTACTACTACTGCTACTACTACTACTACCACCACCACTACTACTACTGCTACTACTACTACTACCACCACCACCACTACTACTACTGCTACTACTACTACTACTGCTACTACTATTACTACCACCACCACCACTACTACTGCTACTACTACTACTACCACCACCACTACTTCTACTACTACCCCCACCATCACTACTACCGCTACTACTACTACTACTACCCCCACCATCACTACTACTACTACTACTATCACCACCACCACTACTACTACTACCACCATCACCACCACTACTACTACCACTACTACTACCAACAACACCACCACCCCAACTACTACTGCCACTTCTACTATCACCACCACTACTACTACAACTGCTACTACTACTACCACCACTACTACTGCTACTATCACCACCACTACTGCTGCTACTACAATCCCCAACTCAACTACTACTGCTACTACTACTATCACCACCACCACTACTACTACTACTGCCACTTCTACCATCAACACCACCACCCCAACTACTACTGCTAGTACTACTTCTACTACTATCACCACCACCACCACTACTACTACTACTATCACCACCACCACCACCACTACTACTATCACCACCACCACCACTACTACTACTACTATCACCACCACCACTACTACTACTATTACTACTACTACTATCACCCCCACCACCACCACTACTACTACTACTATCACCACATTTATGTTCTTATTCTCTATAGGTATGTGTTTTATTGCTCTTATACTGGGTTTTATGATTCGTTGATTTTACCTTACAAAGCTTTTTCATGCTGACTCTGCATTAATATTTTGTGGTGTGAAGCACTTTGTGAATCTTTCTGTGAAAGTTACTTTACAAATACCCGGTAAACCTTACTTACTTACACTACCACCACCACCATTACTACTACTACTAAGCATTGCTAATGCTAACTCACGACAGCTAACAGGAGAAAAGCATCCTGCTCATTCTAGCTCTCTGAGATTAAATGGAATCATCCAAAGTCTGCATCAGTAGGTCCGAGAGGGAACCGAACTTTGGTCCTCAGAACCAGAATCAGCGCGTCTTTTCTAAGAAGCTTCGGGAACGTTCTGAGACATTTTGGAGGCTCCCTCCAAAGGCAGTTAGAGGTGTTCCACCAAAGGTTGTAGGCTGGTTTACTGGGATCAAGTAGCTTCAAAAACAACGTTCGACTGAAAAGGTTCTGGTTCCAGGACAAAACCCAAACAGATGGATTCTAGCTCGCTGTCTGGAACATCTCTGAAATTCCAACCGGGTCGATCAGGTGAGACGGAGCTGTTAGGCACTAACCACCTCCTGATCCAAACAATCTGAGTCCCGTAAGTCCAGTCCGGTCTGTGTCCATACCCCTTCTGTCCATCCATCTGCACCCCCACCCACCACTTCCTCCACTGATCTGTCAGTCAGTATAAAAACAAGATGGCGGCGGCCGTAAAAGAGGCGTGATGCTGAGGAGCTGCAGACGTCAGGAGGAGGAGAGGACAGATGGACAGACTGGAGAGGACTTACAGATGAAGACATGGAGTCCTGCAGTTTTAGGAGAGAGTAGACCTCTGGAATAGTTTTATAGCAGATGGGTGGGGGATGGGGGGTGGGGGTCCCTCTGGGAGAGACGTACCGATGAAGTGATGAAGAGCAGATGATCAGAAATGGCTCTGAGGGAATGCTGATCCAGAGGATGACCAAATATTTTAATCTGTGCCAACTCGTGCGATCAAAGCAGCAGCTTCAGATCTGATGGAGTCGGGGTCTGAGAGGGTTCAGAAGACTCTGATCTGAGGATCCTAGAAGTTGTGGATGGAGGGTAAAGAAGCGGTGGTGACATCAGGACTGGTTCTGAGAGGTAAGCTCATTAAAACAAACGGTGAAACTAATGAATATGAAACGTTTTAACATCCTGCTTGTTTTGGTGAAGTTTGATTTTCTCCCATCAGAAATGATCCGAATTCCAGAACCTTTAGGGAGTTTTTCTCACGTTCCACAATTTAAACAACCGGAAAAAAATGATAAAAGAATTATTTTATGCTTTTGTTGTTAGTCTCACGACGGAGCTGAAGATAAACAGGGACCGCCACCAGTGTGGTGTTGTGTGCCGGAGGGGCGGAGAGGGATGACGAGTGATGAAGGGGAGGTCACATGGATGGATGCTGGCACACAGGCGGAGGCGAGATCCATCAGTCAGACCCACGACGGCGTTAAAACAAAGACCCACCCGAGCAGCAGCAGGAGTCAAAACCTCACAGAAAAACCAAATCATCAGTAAAACTCGCCCTTTTTTAATTTCTGAATTTAATGTGACATTTACTGAAGCAGGGCCGCGTGTGGTTAGCTGTCCTATCATTAATATTTCACTCATTCATTGTGTGTAATGTTGGAGCAGTAACTTTGTAAATTTGAGGCTGATGATTAGAAAACTGGGGGTAATAAATCTGATCAAATCCAAAATAACAAGGACAGAATCAAATATTCATCCATCCATTTTCAGCCACTTATTTGGGGTCAGGTCACGGGGGCAGCAGCCTGAGCATGGAGGGCCAGACTTCCCTCTCCCCAGCCTCTTGGGCCAGCTCCTCCGGGGGAATCTAAGGTGTTCCCTGGCCAGGTGAGAGACATAGTCCCTCCAGCGTGTCCTGGGTCTTCCTTTAGGTCTCCTCCCGGTTGGGCGTGCCCAAAAAACCTCACCAGGGAGGCATCCAGGAGGCATCCTGACCAGAAGCCCAAGCCACCTCAACTGGCTCCTCTGGATGCGGAGGAGCAGCGAATCTACTTCGAGCCCCTCCCGGATGACTGAGCTTCTCACCCTATCTCTAAGGGAGAGCCCAGAAACCCTGTGGAGGAAACTCATTTTGGCCGCTTGTATCAGTGATCTCGTTCTTTCGGTCACTACCCAAAACTCATGACCATAGGTGAGGGTAGGAACGTAGATCGACCGGTAAATCGAGAGCTTCGCCTTCTGACTCAGCTCTCTCTTCACCACGACAGACCGGTACAACGCCCGCATCACTGCAGGTGCAGCACCAATCCGTCTGTCGATCTCACGCTCCAGCTGTCCCTCACTCGTGAACAAGACCCCGAGACACTTAAACTCCTCCACTTGGGACAGGACCTCATCCCTGACCCGGAGAAGGCATTCTTTCCGACTCAAGACCATGGTCTCAGATCTAGAGGAGCTGATTCTCATCCCAGCTGCTTCACACTCAGCTGTGACCCGCTCCAATGAGAGTCGGAGATCACGTTCTGATGAAGCCAACAGGACCACATCATCTGCAAAAAGCAGAGACCTGATCCTCAGGCCACCAAAACAGATCCCGTCAACACCTTTGCTGCACCTAGAAATCCTGTCCATAAAGGTTATGAATAGAATCAAATATTTAAATGTAAATAAAAAATAAAGAACGAACAAACCGACCTTTATCGAACTCATCAGGAATCTGCAGGAAGAACAGAAGAAGAAGAGTTAACATCATTTTAAAATAAAGGTGCTGAATAACAATAAACTCTAAAATCCTCAGGTAATGTTCACTGGTGTGTGTCTGACTAAATGTGCTAACTAGCTGCTACTGAACGTTGCTGAATTACAGGAAAAATCTAAACTCAAGATCTGATGTCTCACTGGTCCGATCCTTCAGAACCTCCATCCTCTGATTGGACCAAACATCCTGTCAGCCGCCTGGAGAAACCAGAGAACAGCTCCACCTGGTGGCTGACAGGAAGCTCTTCGCACCAGTGGGAGTAACGGTTCAAAACGGACATCTGGGATCAACTTTGTGGTTAAATATTCACACGGTCAGATAAAGGTGATGCTTTCATAAACAGGGTATCTGCAGGTTTAAGGGAGCCAAATTTAAGACTTTTTAAGACCTTTTTTAAGGCCACTTGGACCAAATTTAAGCTATTTTTTAAATTAAATTTAAGCTATAATTTCCAGCTATTGCCTGGAACCGGTGCTAACCACGTCGTGAAAGTGGGATTCGCCAACCAGTTACCATTAATGTTTCACTTCCCCATGGCGCAAACTCCCACTAGCATGCTCACCTAAAAATAGCCCCCTTTCACAGCCAACCGAACGTGTTACGCAGATATCATACACAAAAAATGCTGAACGCTAACTAGAAATTCACGAACATTTTATGGAAATAAAAGAATCTTGTTTGTTGGGTCTTTGGTAATTTAAGACCTTTGGAAACTATTTAAGGATTATTTGTCATTTTTAAGGATTTTTAAGGCCTTAAAGGGACTTTACGGACTTTTGAATTTTTATGCTCGCGAGTGCCCCCTCAGGCCAAAAGCGTAACGGCAGCTTCAATAGCAGGCTCGTGCACGAGGCGCGCATGCTGTACGTGCACACTCCTTAACGAAAATAACAGCTGAGACAGTCCCGTGTGTGTGCGTGCGTGCGTGTGTGTGTGTGTGTGTGTGTGTGTGTGTGTGTGTGTGTGTGTGTGTGTGTGTGTGTGTGTGTGTGTGTGTGTGTGTGTGTGTGTGTGTGTGTGTGTGTGTGTGCGTGGCCTGGAGGACAGAGGACAGGAGAACGTGCAGCTAATTAATTAAATAATGTGGTTCTGTAGCTTTCTCTTCAGCACAGCCGACAAAGGTTTATGATGGGTCAGTCCTCCTGCATGCTCAGATCATTCCCTTCCCTTGCTTGAAAAATTGTTCCAAAATGAAAGTTGAACCCACATCTTTTTTATCTGTGAATTCAATGCTGTTCAGCGAGTCTCAAATAAAAATTTGGGCATCTTACTGTAAAAAAATATACCATTAATGTAAAAAAGAAACTCTAAATAAACTATGTTCACACCCAGAATCAAACCCAGGTCTTCTGCACGGGAGTCCGACATCTTACAAGGTGAGCTAAAGCGCCAGTGACGTCACGTGTATCTGTAACATTTACATCCTTGATGACAGCTGAAACAACGTTCAAAGAACGGTTCGGAGTGAAAATGGCTATTTTGTTGCTAATTAGCAGGAAATATCTAGAAGAAAGTTCTACAGAAAGTAGCTAAGGGTCCTCAGAAATGTAGCTAGCTTTGTCACTAGGCGTTAGGAACAGCGACAAAGTGGCACTGCCTCTCTCTCTGCTGCTAAAGCTACGGATAGCAAATGCTACGGGCGATGCCTGAGCGTGAACGCGCATGAAGCAGCCTGCTCGACCCGAGCATCTCTCTTTTTCTGTGATTTTACAGAAAAACAGGCAATCACAGTAAAAATGCCAGGGCTCATTCTACAGGACCAGGGCATTGCAGGAGAATCTATGAAGAAGACATTTATTATTTCTATACATGTTTTGGCTGTCACACTTCCATAATGCACCTTTAAGGCCTTAAATTTGGAAAAGCAAATTTAAGACTGCTCATTTGTTAATAGTTTGACTGAAAGTCTAATGAGCTTATTCTTCAACATGAACGGCGTCCACGCTTTGCTCAGCGGATCTAAAGCAACAGAAAAGCTGGATCTTCTGCAGATAACCAGCTTCCAATCTGACGAGACGCTGAGATGTGGTGGAGTGAGGATGGGAGCAGTTAGCATGGAGCGAAATGTGACGAGGCCATAAAAACCAATCTGGCAGCAGAGCTGCGTGCTGGGAGGGCAGGAGGATGTGGCGTCTGGCATTTAAACAAAAAGTGTGACTCTCAACGTTCATTCTAATCAAAATAATATCATAGTTTCATAAAAACGTTCATAAACATCACAGAGACTGAAGCTGCAAATTGGCCATGAATGACTGATCATTGTAAACAACTCTGTGTTTAAATAACTGCTTTAATGCGCCGATCAGCTGATGCTCACTGGTCAGACCCGGCACGCCCACGCTGATGCCTCCCTGATCACAAAACACGTCTCGCAAATGTCATGTGTGAAGACGAGAAACAGCTCAAGCCCAACCAGATGAGGGTGTTTGTGTGGGGGGGTTGTCCCCCCCCCCCCCCCCCCACACACACACACACACACACACAAACACACTTCATCAGATCATAAATGAGCTGGAGGCTGGAGTTCGAACCCGCTGACCCCGGGACACAGGCCGATTAACAGGAAGTATTTGTCACACATTTGTCTCTGAAACCAATAAAGGGGTCCTAATGTGAGAGAAGTGTGCCCTTTGAAGTGCCTGGTCCCAGAGCGACACCTCCAGCAGTAGATCCTGTCTGAGGAGGGACGCGAGGACGGAGAACCAACACAAATGGGCCGACAGACGCTACCAGCTTTTGTCGTGATTAATTCCACCCGTCGTCTCCGTCCAGACAAGACATGTACTACATAAAAGACTACACGGAAAGACACAAGGGACATGTAGGGACATTTAGGGACAGGCAACTGATGGTTCTGTATGTGGCTCCAAACAGTCAGAAAAACAGCACAGGTGTTCCTAAAACAACAGTTTTAATGTTCCGATTCCTTTTTGGACTTTTGGGCTTCTGTTGCAGCTTTTCTCTGATTTATTAACATATTTATTGTATTGTGTTGTCTCCATGGAGAATGGTAAATGTGCCTGTGTGTGTCAGCAGGGTCCGTAATTAACACTCGCCACTCGCCAAATGCGAGCAAATTGCTCCATTTGGCGAGTAAATGTTTGAGCTCTACCTGCCACCTGGCGAGTAAATGTTTGAGCTCTACCTGCCACCTGGCGAGTAAATGTTTGAGCTCTACCTGCCACCTGGCGAGTAAATGTTTGAGCTCTACCTGCCACCTGGCGAGTAAATGTTTGAGCTCTACCTGCCACCTGGCGAGTAAATGTTTGCACCAAATTAGTTATGTTTATCAGTCGTCTTCCATGGATTTCTGATACTCCTCCCGCCTGCATGCAACGTACACAAACGTACGCGAAACGTGAGCGCCGCATCCAACGTCATTTCCACCTATCCCATTCAATCAGTTTATCAAGTTAGCCGTTAGCTTCGTGTTAAAACTAGCGGTGGAATGTGGCGGTTTTTAACTGGAGTCAGCCAGCCTTCCAAAAGAAAACTCGTCGAACTGGAAGAAAAACCACCAGGACCAGTGGCAACCAGAAGATTTTATGAAAAGTGGCGAACCGGAGATGGCGGAGTCGTGAGACAATGGCTACATTATGATGGCCACGAAGCCTTGCTGCCTTTTACAGACAACTGTCCCTCGGCATTCTTCAAATATCCAAAAGATGCCCGTACTTCCCACTTTGTCTTCTTTGAGGGATAATAAATGTCCCGAGCGCTGCCGTCTCCTCCTTTGGCCATTATTTCAGCTTTAGCTTAAAGAAAGTTTTGGTTGTAAACAACAAAGTGCGCATGTGCCGCCGGCAACTTCAGCAGATGATACGGTGGCTGGTAAGGGTTACCGCGCCTACACCGCAGCCACGGCAACCCAACAAGATAAAATAGTTTTTTTTTTAAAACAAGACGGTTATTATTATTGTCAACTTTTTTACCGGGGTTTACTGCTACACCGGTTACCATGACAACCCTAGCCCTGACACACTTTCAGATATTCTCATGCTGCAGCTGTGTTCTCCAGAGATCAAGGACTAGGACCCAAATGAGGCTGTAGTGCTTTGGCACAAAGACGGTGTTGGAAGCAGGAGGCCAGACTTCATGGACAGAGAAAACAAGGAGTCTGACTAGATTTCAATGAAAGAGTTCATAAAAACGTCTCTAAAAATAAATAAATAAATAGTAAAAATGACAAAAGAGTTGTTTTCCTTATTAATTGATGTTTTAATTATTTTGTCACTCTGTTTGGAATCAACATAATATAGAATAACATGCTTTAGGTAGATCTAAATCATATAGAACTTTGGCCGGTAGATTTTCATCATCTACCAGCCAACTTGGCCGGTGAGTAAAAAATTTAATTTCGGACCCTGTGTGTTAGTGTGTGCGTGTGTGTGTGTGCGTGTGCGTGTGTGTGTGTGTGTGTGCGAGTGTGTGTTGGGGGTAGGGGGGTCGGCTGTCTCTCAGCTACGTGTCAAGTGTGCCGTCATGGAGGGGGGCAATAAGTGTGACCCTTCCTTTCTCACAGCGACACCTCAGACCGCAGCCAATCATGTCTGTCACGCTCTATGACATCACAACCACCTGAGAAGTGTGCACTTTACAATAGCTCATAAACATGCTCTCACACACACACACACACACACACACACACACACACACACACACACACACACACACACACACACACACACACGCACGCACACACACCAGATTTTAAAAAGTCAGCAGCTGAGCTGTGATAGTCGGCCCTAGTGAGTCTGCAGTTCACTCCGTGCACTGCTACGTGCAACAGCATGTAAATAACGAGGACCCATTCATTAATCTGCTGACCATGGATAGTCGAGGTGGGTTAAGTCATTTATGTCCTGATGTGTTTTTTTAATCCATCACTGTGTGTGTGTGTGTGTGTGTGTGTGTGTGTGTGTGTGTGTGTGTGTGTGTGTGTGTGTGTGTGTGTGTGTGTGTGTGTGTGTGTGTGTGTTATAAAACTCACCTTGTTTCCTTGCTCATCCACTGAATTTGTTCCTATAACAGAAACAAACAGTTGATCTCATGTTTAGGCACCGACTTCTCTAAGATCCACAATGAATAAGCATGTGTGTATTATCAGATATTAATCACTAAACAAATGTTACACACACTTATTCACTTTTATCAGCTTCAGACCTCCTTGGACAATCAACATATGTTATATAAACGTATATGAAGAAACACTCTGCAGAATATTTCTCTGACATTCATTCAAAGTCTGAAAATTCCCACAATCCTGAATGCAACACGTGTGTTCGGACATTCTATGTTTTCCTCTGGTGTGAGAAACGTGTTAGCAGCAGCTATCCTGCAGTTAGCATTAGTGCCACCAACATTTATTAATTGCAGATGTTTAAGTGGGTTGGGGGGTTAGAGGTCGACTAATATTGGTTTTTCTATTGCCGATACTGATGCCCGTAGAAGACACGGTCATCCGATGGCCATTATGTTTGGGTTTTATGGGCGATATCTAGACACTTTCCACTTATTTTCTTCCTAAAATATCCCTAATAACATCGGTTGCTGCACAACCGGTTGTTGAACTCGGAATTTAACTAACTATTACATTTTAACTTGGTGTAATGTTTAGTGTTACAATCAGACACTTAAGTTAAGTT